TCACTGTCATGTGATCAAAATTCAGAGGCTTGGCGACTAGCACGTAGCAATAGCACTAGCACTTAGATATATACTGCTTTACAGTCCTTTGCAGCTCTCTCTAAGTGTTTTACAGAGTCAGCCTCTTGCCTCCAACAATCTGGGTCCTCATCTTACCCACCTTGGAAGGATGGAAGCCGGAGTCAACCTTTAGCCTGGTGAGATTCGAATTGCCAAATTGCAGGCAGTCAGCAGAAGTAGTCTGCAGTATTGCATTCTAACTACTGCGCCACTGCAGCTCATGTATTTGCAATGAATTCAGCATCCCAGGGTCACATGATTATCATTATGAGCTGCGGTGGCACAGTGGTTAGAGTGCAGTACTGCAGGCTCCTTCTGCTGACTGACTGCAATTTGGCAGTTGAAATCTCACCAGACTCAAGGTTGACTCAGCCTTCCATCCTCCTGAGGTGGGTAAAATGAGGAGCCAGATTGTTGGGGGCAATAAGCTGACTCTGTAAACCACTTAAAGAAGGCTGTAAAGTGGTATATGAGTCTAAGTGCTAGTGTTATTGCTATTTGTGGTCTTCCCAGCCAGATTTTAATAAGCAAAGCCAACAGGGGAAGCTGCATTTACTTAATGAGTATGTGGTTTACTTAACTGCAGTGACTCACTTGAACTGTGGCAAAAAATGTTGTCAAATCAGACATGATTCACTTAACCACCTTGCTTAGCAAAGGAAATTCAAATCCTAATTGTGATCAAAAGCAGTGGAGTTCCTGTATATGATCAAGATTGTTACAATCATTAAGTTTCAATCTACCCTATTTGTTGCCATGTTATCAAAGATGATGGAAGTATTCCATATAATCCAGAGCTATTTGGATTAAATGATGATAAACAGTTCCATTCACTTTAATGGAATCCAGGGTCCAGAAAGCAAGTCATGATTGGGTAAAGATCCTGGCATGAGAAAAAAGAATTCCCAAGTGCCAAGAAAGAATATTTTGGGTACTCCTCCCTGTTTTAATTTCAGTGATTGCTCTGCTTTTGTGTGTCAAAACCTTTGGCATGCAAAAGCATCCAGAGGATTAGTAATCATTCATCAAAAACATTCCAAAATCTGAAAGTTAAATAGGTAATACTGTGCTAGAGTTTATGTAATTATCGTTCAAATTGTTTTGGGTAAGTTGACATCAAAAGAAAAGAGATCTTACCTTGCATACCTTGCAAATGCTAGGTGCCCTATTAAACCTCAGTCAAGCCTTATCAAAGGGTGAATTGTCAAGAGAGGGAAAACTATAAAATGTTTGGTGAGGGTAAGCTAGGATGGACCTCATTAGTACATGAATTGAAAAAACAAACAAACCCTGTGGATATTTAAACTATGCAATTGTCTCTTGATCATATAGTTTTTCATAATAATCCTGAATTATTTTCTTTTTAGCGTCAATTCAATAGCAAGAAGTCCCTTCATCATCTATTAGTTGATAAATCAATTTCTTTTATTCCCTCCTTTTTCAATCTATATGCCAACAGTCTTCCTGGCTTGTTTGTGTCAATTTTTTTTTATTTAGACCTTTTAATTTTTTGTCCTAACTCTTCTTTATCTGTTAAGTTCAACTTATGTTTTTTTTAAGTCCATTTGATTTTTTATGTTCTTTTTTTGGGGGGGGATACTGAAATAAAACAATACCTAGAAAAAGCAGAATTACCCACAGTACCATAAGAGTTAAAGCAGCATTAGAAGAAAGAATAACAATGATGGAACGAATAATGGAGATATAAACAATGCAATACTCCGAGGAAAAGCGCTCCAGATCTGAATGCAGGTAGTCCTTCACTTGTAGCCATTTGTCTAGTGACTGCTCGAAGTTACAACTGCACTGGAAAAAGTGACTTACAGCTGGTTCTCGCACTTACGACCATTGCAGCATCCTCAGGGTGACTCAAAATTTGACTGCTTGGCACATATTTGCAATAATTTGCATCCTTCCCAGCCATCTTCCAGCAAGCAAAGTCAATGGGGGAAACTGGATTTGCTTAATGACCACATGGTTTACTTAACAATGGGCAAAGATCATAAAATTGGGTGCTGCAGAAAAAAGCTTGGAAGATCCCATATATCAGCACCAGTGGTGGGATTCAAAATTTTTTACTACTGGTTTTGTGGGTGTCTCTGTGGGCGTGTCATGTCTTTGTGGGCGTGGCAGGGGAAGGATACTACAAAATCCCCATTCCCTCCCCACCCCACTAACCTGCTTTCCAGTTCCATTCTCCTGTTCAGGGCAATAAAAGAAGATCAGCTGGGATGCAGAAGGGCCGAGGCCAGCCTATTTGCTGGTTCTCTGAACTACTCAAAATTTCCACAACCGGTTCTCCAGAACCTGTCAGAACTGCCTGAATACCACCTCTGCAGCCCTGAAAGGTGAAACCTGGGAAAGAGGGAATCCAGTGAAGAGGAAGAGAAATGGTACTGACCCCTGGCAGGAGAACCAGCTCCCCCCCCACCCCCTACCCCTATCCTGCTCTGCAAAATGAAGCAAACTGGGATGATCTCAATCAGCATTTCTCAATTTTAAGATGGGCAGATGTCAATTCTCAGAATTTCTCATGGAATCACCGGGGAAGTCGGTGAGGTTGGGTTTTTTTTAATTACATTTATTAGTCATTATCATTTATTATGATAGGAATTGAAGTCCAACCATCCTGGATAAGGAATTCTGGGAACTGAAGTCCATCCAAGCTGGTTGGGGAATTCTGGAAATTTATATATATATTTTAATATTTATTAAACTTGTATGATGCCTCACTTAGAGGCGACTCTAAGCAGCTTACAATCAATTAATTTCCCAATTATAACATTAAGATTTTGGGAAATCCTGCTACCAAAAAAGATGCTGAGGCCCTAGAAAGAGCGCAGAGGAGAGCATCAAAGATGACAAAGGATCTAAAGGCTAAACCATATGATAAAAGACAAAGGGAACTGGGTATGTTTAGCCTAAGGAAGAGAAGATGTGTGTGTGTGAGAGAGGGGGGGGAGAGGGAGAGAAAGAAAGAGAAATGTTAGCCATCTTCCAATACTTGAAGAACTGTCACAAGGAAGTGGACATGGATTTATTCTCCATAGCATCTGAGGGAAGAAGCAGCAATGGATGGAAGCTCCATCAGAAGGAAATTCAACCTAGGAATAAGAAATGAGAACTATTAATCAATGGAAAAACTTGTCTCTTTTCCTTATGGGTGCTCCATCACTGCGAGTTTTCAAGAAAAGTTTGGGCAACTATTTGTCCAGGATGGTGTAAGAATAGAATAGAATTCTTTATTGCCAAGTGTGATTGGACACACAAGGAATTTGTGTTTGGTGCAAATACTCGCAGTGTACATGAGAATAAAATACATTCATCAAGAATAAAAATATAACAACACTTAGTGATAGTCAAGATTACTAATATGCTATCAAATCATACTAGTAAACAAATAAAAACAATACACTTTGAAAGATACAAGCAGCATGGTTATAGTCATTAAGTGTGGAGAGATAGATACTAGGAAGAGAAGAATAGTAATATTCTTGGTAAATTTTTGATAGTGTTATGGCAAATAGATGTTAAGCAGAGTGACGGCATGGGGAAAAACTGTCCTTGTGTCTAGTTGATCTGCCTTTTTGAGCTCCAGATTTTTGAGGTAACATTTCATCACCATTCATAAACTGAAATGAAATATAAAATATATTCATAAAATGAAATGAAACTAAACTTGCAAATGAATAAGTAATGAAATTAAAATTCAATAAATTACATAACTGTTCACTGAGCTTCAGATGAATGAAGGTTGCAGGGCGGTTTTGTACAGAGTATGAAGTATATATCAAATATTGTTTTTCTTTTTTAAAAATTTGGTTTTGTAATTTAAAAAAAAATCCCCTTCATGGGTGGGTCCCCTTTGAGCTCCATGGGCCCCAAAACAATGGAGCCGCTGCACACACACACCCCTCTCCTCAGGCCTGTGCACAGGGGAAGGAGATGGGGAGCTGAAACCCTCCCCAACTGGCTGGGGAATTCTGGAACTTGAAGTCCAACCATCTTAAAATTTGCCAAAGTTATGAAACACTGGCTGGCCTTAATGTCTATCCATAAACCTTTCCTTTTAGCCTGCCGGGATGGGTAAAACCCAGCGGTTTTTCTGCTTGGGAGGGGCCACCGCTTCTCTATGTGGGGCGGGGGGTGAGAGAAAAGCAAAAATAAATAAATAAGGCGGCGCGAGGGGGTCGAGGGAGAAGCCCGCCCGCGTACCCGCCGCTGAGGCAAAGCGGGCGGCGCGTCCCCGAGGCGCCCAATCTCCCCCCGCCCCGCGCTCGCCTACCTCTCCTTTCCCTCGTCGCGAGGGCCGAAGAGGGAGTGAAGAGGAGGAAAAAGGGGCGGGGCTGGAGCGCGCGCGCCCGGGGTGGTGGTGGTTGACAGCCTATAAGCTGCCCCGCTCGGTCCTCGCGCTCTGGCTGGCTGGCGCACGCGCGTGTGCGGGGCGGCGGCGGCGGCGGAGGGGGGGAATGTCCTCGGTGGGTGGGTTTAACCACGCGCAGGCGCGCGCAGGCGCAGCTGCAGGGGGCCGAGCTCGAGGCGGCTGTGGCGGGGTCCACCGCGCTGAGGCGACGACGAACGACGCGCATTGGGGAGAGTTTGGCTCCGGCTCGGCCGCCTCTCTTCAGCCCCGGGCCGGCCGCTCGCCTCGCTCACTCGCTCGCGGGGCGGAGTCGCACGCATGCAGGCGAGAGCCTGAGGCGGACGGAGCAGCAGCAGCAGCAGCAGAGATCGCCGACGACGGTCCCCGTTGGAACCGAGGGAAGGAGCGCGATCGGTTGTTCGGTCGGCCGGGCGGGCTGGTTCCGCCGCGGCCGCGCGTTGTTGGTGACGCGGAGACGCTGCTCTCCGCCCCCCGTTCCCTCCCGGCCGACCCTCACCCCGAAGCCAATATTCCCGAAATCAAGAGATACGCGGCGGCGGCTGGAGCCGCGGGGCCCGTGGCGGCGGCGGCGGCGGCGGCGGCCGGGGGGGACCGCGGCGAGGCCACCGCTGCCGTCGCCATGGAGGCGCTGGGACCAGGTGAGAGGCCTGCCTGCAGGTGTGGGTGGGCCAGGGGCGGAGGAGGGGAGGGGGCTGCCCAGATGGCCCCTTTTCTTCGCCCTTTTAATTGGGGCGGGGCTGGAGGGGACTCGGGTTTCCTTTCCGCGGAGCCTTCCTCTCCCCCTTCCCTTCTGAGGTTGAAGCCGCCAACAGGTGCTGCTGGAGGCGCTCAGGTCACGTTGACTCCGCTCTGCCTGAGGCCATGTGGGCCTACAAAGGAGTTTCCCCCCTCGGCGGCGGCTGCTGCCTTGCGTGCGGCTGAACACTTTTCCAGTGTTTGTAAACACACACAGAGCACGTGATGCCTTCAGGAGCCTGTTTAAAAATTTGCTTGCGTTCTTGGGAGTCGGAGCAGCACTTTTGCCCAGCCTCCTGCTGCCCTTTGAAAAACTTTTTAAAGACCGCCGCAGCAACTATCATGTGTGGTTCAAGCAATGCTCCAACACGGGAAGTTCTTAAGAAGATATTGGATAGCCATTTGTCTGAAATGGTGTAGAGTGTCCTGCCTGAGCAGGGTGTTGGACTAGAAGACCTCCAAGGCCCCTTCCAACTCTGTTATTCTCTTTATTTCTGTTCTATTTATATCTAGTCTATATTCTATTCTATTTCTATTCTATTTCCATTTCTATTCTATTCTATTCTATTCTATTCTAGGCAGACCGTATAATTCAGTGTATCTGGAGCAGGTAATAGTGGTCATTCGGAGGACTGTGCACCAGGATGTAAATGCAGTGGATAAAGGAAACATTTGTTCACCTATCCTCTTTCTTCATGCCTTGATTGAAACCTGGTTTTAACAAACACAGTTACCAGAGTTTGCACAGTATACTAAGCTGTAAGCCAAGGTTTATGGACCTCCTTGCTAAGCCCAAAACAGACAAACCACATAATAGCCTTGGATGAAGTGTGAATTCAGTCTCTGGCTGGATTATTTAGAAAAAGACCTAACTTTTGTAGAGCCAAGTTGCCTTGTGCTTTAGTTACTTTCTAATCTGCTTTTTGTTATCTTTAGGAATTTTTAATGGAAACCTAAGAATATATAGAGAGAGAATATAGAGATTTAGTTTGTTTCCTGCAGTTATTTATTTAGGCGTTAACTTTTGGCCCAATTTTCCAAGAGATAATATTTCAAGTAATATGGAAGGGGCTAGCTATATCTTTGTTTATGCCTGTTTTGAAATATTTGTTAAAAAGTCAACTTTTTTAAGTATAAAAGCTGTCCACACATACCAGATAATTCTTTACATTGGTGATGATACTTTTTGACTGTGTGTACAATATGCTAATTATTAAATATAACTAACAAACCACACTGGCTTGTGGCCACTTAGTTTTGGCTTAGCCATTGTTATTTTTTAGCATGGAATCAGCACATTCTGGAGTCAATAATTCAAATATCTAGGGCAGTGATGGTTAACCTTTTTGCCGTTGAGTGCCGAAAGCGTGTGTGCTTGCACCCATAATGCAATGCGTGTCCATGCCCCGCATGTGCTCCACCCTCTGTGCATGTGTGCACAACCCCACATGCACGTACGTGGGACCCTCATGCATGCACATGTGCCCCCTCGTGCATATGTGTGTGTCTCCTGCATGCGGCCTCCACACATGTTTTATTTTTATAGTTATAATGTACACTGGAGATGACCTTTAATTTCATTGTATGAAGCGCAATCACAATAAACTAAACTAAACTACATTTTTGTTTTCTTGCTCCTGGTCAGAGCAGGAGTTTGAGCTTCTGTAGTAACTAGAGATTATTTGAAGATAAATCTATTTTAGCTGATCTTTTTTCTTCTTTTCCTTCCAACCCCATTTCCCTTGAAGCTTCCATATATTATCATTTTACTCATTCATGTGTTTGAGATCTAAATCTTGAGAAAAGACTAGAGGGTGTGGCTCTGGCAGTGAAAGGTAGGGAGTGGTGGTCTATGTAGGTTTCGCATTTGGGAAGAGTGCCAAAATACTTTAAGGAAGAAAGACAGCAAGCTGCAAGCCCTTCTGGTCTTGTGCCAGGCTGTGTCACCCAATTAAGGCTCTACAGCTCTTTCAACTATTCCTTTTAAATGCCAGGTAGATTCAAAATAAAACAAATTATTCCTGGTTTCAACTTTTTAGAAAAGTGATAGATGAAGTGAAAACGTGTTTGATATGTTTGGAATATACACAGCCAGTTGGGAGCTGTTTCACATCACTACAATTATATCATAGATGATAGTGGTACTTTGGCCAGTTCCCCCAAAAACCTAAGCAAAATCAAACCTGGTTGGTAAATGATTGTTACTACATCTAGTTACTACTACAAGAAAATTGGAGGTTGTAGAGTGGGAAATTCTTTAAAAAAACAAGAACAACTCCCAAGAAGACCATGAAAAACTGCTTTCTTATTATTAAATCTTGAAGCATCCATGTAGATTTGAAGACTACTTTCAGGAATAAATAGCAATAAAAGCTTTTGTTGATTTTTGTAGCAATACCCTTGCCTTTTTCCAAGAAATACCTTTCCTTAACTACTGAATTTATATTTTGAATTGAAATTATCCCTAGTGCTAAGTCTCCCTAGCTATTGTTGGAAATAGTTTTGATTGTTATATTTGTGGAAAATTTCAGTTTCTATGTCAAAGCTTCTCAATAGGCATGGCAATTACTCTTGCAGTGTATGGCAAGAGTATATGCTTCCAGCATGGCCTCCAAAGCGTCAAGGTCATGCACTGCCCAGCTAAAGGAAGCTGGCGAGAGTAATACAAACAGGCGATCACTTTAGTGACAGTGGCAAAGGCATTGTTTTGTACTGCATGGGAAGGAATAATGGTAAACGACTCATGCATTTTACCAAGAAAACATATAATACTTTGAATTAATTTAGCTGTAAATATTATTTTAGTAGTTTTGGACAGACAAATATTGTGTGCATTAACTGCAGCTCCCATTATTTTATTGAAAATGTATTTAATACATTTGAGTTTGAAGAAGTATCAGATAAGGTTTGTTTGACATATTCAGAGCTCACTGAGCAGCAAGAAAATTTACTATATATGGGAGACATATTTTTTATAAGGAAACAAAGAGAACAGTCAATTGTTCAGTGACTGTTTAAATTTACGATAGTGCTGACCTGAACAAAATGATACATGACAGTTTCCTAGCCACCAGAGCATCCCCATGGTCATGTAATCACAAGCCAGGCATTCAATGACTGGGTCATAATCATAACATTGGAGTGTCCTACAATCATATCATCACAATTTGCAACTGTCACTAGCAGCTTCCGCAATCAAAGTCAATAGGGATACTAGTGGGGGATCACAGTGATCATATATTGCAGTATTCACTTAATGAAAGCAACTGGAAGTGGTGTTGCTAAGCAATCTGATCATATGATGTCATGTTTTATAATCGTGTGATTTAGTGATGGAAATTCCAGTCCTAATTGTCATTAACTAAGGACTACCTGTATTTGACAAAATTTGTTCCAGGAATGGCAACTCTTATTGCGATGACAGTTACAGGATATGGATGCCAGTATATTAAGTAAATATTAAGAATTGAAAGATTTACTGATAAGTTTACCTGTATGAAAATATGATTTGACTAAACCTGTAGCAGTGTCAACAGGTACTAGTGCATCTGGTTTAGGTGTAGTATTGCTACAAGAAAGATTTTGTGTGATACGTGCATTTAAAACCAGGATTAAACTGCTAGTTACTAACTTCCCCAAAATATCAATTAGTAGTAGTTTAAACCAACAGTCTCGAACCTTTCTGGCTTTGTTGATTGGCGTGGGGGTGGGGGTGGGGGGAGTGCTTGCAGCTCCATTTGCCCAAGTGGTGGGCATATGCGTCCACCACATACACAAATGGAACTGTGCCCACCTGCCTGCTGCACGTGCTCGCTTGCCCAACAACTCTGTAGTCTGGTTTTGAATGGGCTGCAGCTCGAATTGGAGCCCCCTGGTTTAAAGAACTAGGAAGGAACTGGTGATTGTAGATGCCTTTCTAAGAGCTTTTTAAGATAGTAATGATGATGACATGTAGATTACTGTATTCTAATGTTGCAATAGATTTGTAGCTATACTTGCTTGTATCTGGTAATATAATTGAAACAATTTAAAAATGCTAACTAGACAATTATTAAAATTATTTTGATGGGCTGGCCTTAGCAAAGAACGTTTAAAATGTATTGGAATTATAAGGAGTTGAATATTACTTCTCAAGAATGAAAGAAAGACTAAGAGGTGAAATTTTGCCGGGGTGGGGGGGTAAGAGGCATGTGTAAGAAGCTGAATTGATCGTGTTTGAATTTCCTATGAGATTATGGCAGGAATTGTGTTTGATATATTTTAATTTTAGGGGAAAAAATAAAAATTAGTTTGGAAATTTTATTTGATATTTTTTGTAGTGGTCTTTTTTCTTTGGGACAGGTTTGGGGGGGTGGGCAGAAGTTGAACCCCAGACTACTATAGTGTAGAGTGCCTCAAGGCTCAGCTCTCCTATCCCTTCTTTCAGTATGTACATGAAACATTAGGTGATATAACTAAATGGCACTGGATGTACCGTAGCATCAGTATATTAATAATACCCATACATAATTACTCCAGGTGAGACGGGTACTGCTGTTACGATATTGGTCCAATGATCTAAATTTCCTGAAAGCTGTAAAGAGCTACTCTTCCCCCAACTTCTTGTAGAGGATGAAGTTGTAGTTGGAGGACAGTGCTGTTGGCTGCATCAAAGCAGTTTGGTTGTGGTGCCTGGCTTCTTTGTTTTCATTTCATGTATTATTTTGGCTTTATATAGTTGTTCTGAACTGCCTAGAGTTTGACTCTAAAGTTGATGGACATGCAAATCATTTAAATAAATAAATTTTGCATTGTGGGTCTCTTCAACACATGGAATCCTTGAGGTCATAACAGACAATAGATCACAATTTAACTTAATGGGATTCAGAGTGTTTGCCAAAGATTGGGATTTTGCAGATTCTATTTCCAGTCTCTATTATGCCCATTCAAATAGGATAGTAGAAAGGACTATACAGATTGTGAAGAGAATGTTACAAAAATCAAAGCTGGACGGTTTTGAGTTTTATTCAAATGTGTTGGCTTAAAAGAAAATCATCGAACTCTTAGATCTGCGCAGAGGTTGACGGTATAGCTTATTAAAGAAGGTGAAGGGACTTGAGGATACATTGAAGATCTTACACTATCTCAGTTCAAATGCGGAAGGAAAAAGAAACAACTGAAGATACCAGAAAAGGCCAACAGTTGGGTTATCTTGGGGGGAGGGGGGGAGATGGAATATGCTAGGAATAAGTAATCTCTATTATTTGTGAGTAGAATATAATGAGTGAACATAAGGAGCTAGCTGTGGGTATTCAATGGCTCTCTTTTCTTGGTAACCTGTAAATTATCAGTCAACTTTATCCATGTATTAGATCTGTCTTAATAGTTTGTATGCAATGTACTTCAAAATGGGATGTGGGCATGTAAATGCAAGCTACTTCGAAATGGAATATGGCCTAAAACTGATTTAAAATTGTATGGAACACTATAATTTTACAGTAGGCTTACCTATCAAACATGCTTCCATTTTTCCAGGGCCACCAGCCACTCTTTTCCAGCCACCGCGTCGGCCTGGCCTGGGAACAGTTGGAAAACCAATTCGTCTCTTAGCCAATCATTTCCAAGTACAGATTCCTAAAATTGATGTTTATCATTATGATGTGGATATTAAACCAGAAAAACGTCCCCGGAGAGTGAACAGGTATAGTTTCAAGCCTAATTTTAATGGTTCTCTGACTGCTGATAATTTGGCAGTTTTAAATAAAACAATACAGTGGGCATACATGGAGTATTCCTCAGCAATAGCAGTCTCATAAGGTAGAGACCATTTGTACTTGAACTAATTCATATTTTGAAAATCAAATTGAGAACATTATGCTGTTGTACCATTAAGTTGTTCTCATTTCAATTCTCATTTCATTTTCCAGGGAGGTAGTAGATACCATGGTGAGACACTTCAAGATGCAAATATTTGGGGATCGACAACCTGGCTATGACGGCAAAAGAAATATGTATACTGCGCATCCTCTGCCTATTGGAAGGGACAGGGTAAGTCATTTCAGTAATAGCCTTCAGAGTTTAACTTAATGCTTAAATGTCATCTTTCCTAAGAATGTCCTACTGAGCCTCCTTGTTTGCCCTATTCAAATAATGAAGTTATCAAAATAGGTTTTAGATTTGAAAGTGGCATTGCTAAGGTGCAACTCCCAGCTTTTTCAGAAAGCATGTCCAATGCTAAGAGGAATTGAGAAGTGTATATTTGTGACACCTGGACACCTGACAAGCAATGATAAAACTGCATCCTTGGCGTTGCTTTGAGCCTATTAAATAGCATTCAATATTTGTTGTTTTATCATGCCCAAATTATAGTGTCCTGCATTAGATGAAGCCTATGAACATGTTTTAAAGTGCATGAAAACTATCCTTGAACTATAGCTTATTTTTATCCTAGGGAAATTGATCTGGGACTTTGATGGGTATCTGCTGTACCCAAATAATAATGAGATTAAACTGAATTCAGTCAAGGATCAGTGGAAAACAAGTTGAGCTCATGAACAGTTTCAATTTCAACAGATGTTCTGCACAGTTGAGAAAGATCTGCACAGTTAATCCTCACTGTTGTGTCTTCAGGTGGATATGGAGGTCACACTCCCCGGTGAAGGGAAGGACCAGACCTTTAAAGTGTCAGTTCAGTGGGTGTCTGTAGTCAGCCTTCAGCTGCTCCTGGAAGCTTTGGCAGGGCATCTGAACGAAGTCCCAGAAGACTCTGTGCAGGCACTAGATGTCATCACACGGCATCTTCCCTCTATGAGGTGAATATTTTTTTACTCATTCTCTCTTGGATTGTAGTTTTCCCAGCAGACGCTGGTTGAATCTTTTATGCATGTTGTAGCCCATTGTAACGCTTACGGATATTCCTCCTTTCAGAAGTGAAAATTGTAATCGCAAGGAATATGCAATATTTCTAAGGAATATATTTGTGTTCTGCTCTCACTAAATGCTTTTGCTTTTCCCACCTATCTTTGACTTGGTGGAATATAGGAAAGGTATGGAACATCAGTCACTTTTTAAAATAACATTTGAATAGAGTCAAATATAACTTTCAAAATAAATTGTAACTCTGTCTCTTTTCAATTAAAGTTTAGAATAGTCTAACTCTTGCAGGAAAACAATTTCTATTTTACAAACTATCTTTTTTTGTTTTGTGTCTTCCTGCAATTTCTATTTTACAAACTATCTTTTTTTGTTTTGTGTCTTCAAGTCAGAATTGACTCCCAGTGACTGTGTGGACTAGCCCCTTCAGTTTTCTTGGCAAGATTTTGGAAATGGTTTGCCTATAAATAAACTTATTCTAATTCTAATTCTAATTGCTTTCTTCCTAGCATTGAGAACGATTGGCTACTGATACTTGCCTTCCGTGGCAATTAATATATGTTCCAGAATTTCTTGAAGAATTTCCTTAGTCTCCTTGGTATTCCTTAGTGACTTTTGCTTAGATCCATTATTTTACTCACACCAGAAATCCTTCTCTGTCTCTGAAGTTTTAAATTGAAAGGTGGTATCCTATGTTAAAATTTTCTGAGTGACAGATCTAATATCCACTCAATACACATGTGCTTTAACTTACACTGATGATGATGATCTTGCCAAAAATGATGTGATGGAATACCCTGATCCAGGACAAATGGTTGAAAAAAATGACCCACTTGTCTGATTTTTAATACTTGTAATACGTTCCTGATTTGTAACTTCTTGACAAAGCTGAATAGATTCTCCCATTCCACCAGGTACACTCCAGTGGGGCGTTCCTTCTTCTCTCCCCCTGAAGGATACTATCACCCACTGGGAGGAGGTCGGGAGGTCTGGTTTGGATTCCATCAGTCTGTCAGGCCTGCCATGTGGAACATGATGCTCAATATAGATGGTATGGAAGAAACCTGTTTCCTTAAATTACCCTAAATCTCTCGTGAGAGACTTTTCTCAGTATCCCGCCTCCTTTTTTTGTTTTGTTTTTAAGTATCCGCAACTGCTTTCTACCGTGCTCAGCCTATTATTGAATTCATGTGCGAAGTCCTGGATATTCAGAACATCAATGAACAAACAAAACCCCTTACGGATTCCCAGCGTGTTAAATTTACCAAAGAAATAAGAGGTACTACTTTAAAATAATAAGTTATCATGTATGTTGAATTGTGGTAAACAAAAAAACTTGATTTCTGAAAATTTTGCAGTATATTTCCACCCTTAGAAAATTATAAGTTGGGCTGGTTTTGATGGCGTTTAGAGAGAACATTTTTAGTAACTGCTTAGAGTTTCTTCATCTCCCAATATCACACATTTAAAAATAAAAAAGACAAGCTTGTGGTTATACAGATGGATTTTTTGTCATTGTGTGGATATTTCTCTGACATTCCCCATTTGTCTTTTAGAAAACCAATACTTTGGGAGTTTTTGCTGAAGAAAATATGAGGGATGGCAATTATGGCTCAAAGCCAGCTCTCTACCTTTTAATTTGTTGGTCACTAATTTTTTTATCAGAAATATTCAACAAAAAAGTAAAAATTTAGAATATTTTCTTATCCTTTATTAATGATCACAACTCACCTCTGCTCTGTATTTATGGTCAAGTTGTTCTAACCTTACTACATTATCAAAATCCGAATTAACTACTCCCTCCTCCACCCAAAAAAACCCCTGGGAATTCTGACTACAGTATTATGACACATTTCTGTAGTATTTTCAGTGGACAATATTTTTTTTCATTTTATGTTATAAGATTCTCACTCCCCCCCCCCCCCGAATTTTAGGATGACTAGATTTGGAAGAAACTATTTACTTGGGTTGAATATTATTTTATCCACTCAGAATTTTATTTGAACAATCCAGATATAGTGGATTTGCATTTATATAGAAAATAAATGTAATCATAGACAGCCCAGTAGTTTGTTTTGATATTTGATCCTTCTCAATATATCATATTGGCTTTTGGTGTGTGTGTCTTTATGTTTCACTGGATTTATAGGTTTAAAAGTGGAGGTTACTCACTGTGGGCAAATGAAAAGAAAATACAGAGTTTGCAATGTTACTAGACGACCTGCTAGCCATCAAACGTATGTATGCTTTTTTTTTTTTTTTTAAAGCAATCTTGAAAAGTCTTTGTTCTGTTTCTGCTATGGAAAAGCATTGTATAAACTGAAGGTCACACACAACTAAATATTTCATAAACTAGGTATTTCAGAATTCTATAAAAATAGAAAACTCTGAAGCCATTCGGAGTAGGACCCAAAAAAATGACTTGTGCTTTGGCAATATGTCAGTGAAGATTCTCAGTCATCCAGATAAGAATCATCTGGAAGAAGTTGAGTCCTGGCAACTGGACTTCTTTTCTTTTTCGGCTTGAAACATTTCACTGCTTATCCAAATAGACAGGCTTGAAAAAAGATAAGCATTTCAGATCAAAAAGAAAAGAAGTCCAGTTGCCAGAACTCAACTTCCAGATGACTTGTGCTTTTTTGGTTGTGTCATTTTGTGATGGAAATTCAGTCCCAATTATCATAGTTAAGTGAGGACTACCTGTATTTACATAATTAATGTACAAGGATGGAGAAAACGTGATATCTGGCAGCCAGGCGAGCTTCTTCAAATGGGAGAAGCTACAGATAAGCCTCTTCCCAACAGGCATGTAGCAGTGATACGGGACTAAGTAGTCCTTCATCTTACATGCATATTTATACTATGGGCTCTTTTAATTTTAACTTTTAGTTAATTTGACCAACATTATGCATTTTTTTAAAATCATGCTGTCCCTATGTATTGAAATGTTAAACCTGATTTTTAATGTGAGGATGCTAATATCCCTTCACTGGAGCTTGATATCATATATTTGGAGTACTACCCTCCCAGTCAGACCACAATCCATCTCTGATTGCTTTCAGTTTTTATTAATTTCAGCAATATGACTGTGGGGAGAATAATTTTGTTGCTGCTTTTGTTAAATAGTTGAGAATTCAAAATAGTTGTTTATGTTCTGATACCTCTTTCTTGTGAAATGAATATATATTTAATTTATATTTTTGCTTACAGGTTCCCTCTGCAGTTGGAAAATGGGCAAGCTATGGAGTGTACAGTAGCTCAGTATTTTAAGCAGAAGTACAGTCTGCAACTGAAATACCCACATCTTCCATGCCTCCAAGTAGGGCAAGAGCAGAAACATACCTATTTACCCCTTGAGGTAAACACCTAGGCGGTTCTGTTCCTCAGTTCTGTTCTGCTGCATCAGGCTTGTTCACCCTGTATCTTTTTCATTCTAGGTGTGTAATATAGTTGCTGGGCAGCGTTGTATTAAGAAGCTAACAGACAATCAGACATCAACTATGATCAAAGCAACAGCACGGTCTGCCCCTGACAGGCAGGAGGAAATTAGCAGACTAGTGAGTAACTGCTTGAATATATTAAATCACCATTAAGATGGAGTGAAATAGTGGCTGGAAGACACTTATCACTTTTCCTGCATGAACTTTGCAAATCTTTTTCCTGGGATCCAGCACCATTTCTCACCTCTGGGTTGATGAGGTTATGGTACACCCAGAATGTGGTGTATCCAAGACATAGAAGATAGGATAATAAACTCCATCCCTATCCTCCTTTTGTAATAGTCCACATAATTCATAGATAACTACAACAAAAGATAGCAGCAACTGGGGAACAAAGGCACACAGTGGACTTCCAGTTGAGCTACACTTACTCAAATGAAATATTCCCAACAGCAGTTGTGTCTATATTTAAGAAATGTTCTCTGAATGTCTAGGTCAAGAGTAACAGTATGGTTGGTGGACCTGATCCATATCTGAAGGAATTTGGTATTGTTGTCCATAATGAAATGACAGAACTGACAGGCAGAGTATTACCTGCACCAATGCTGCAGTATGGAGGTAGGGTAAGTACTTCATAATTTTCACCCAATCTAGATTACACAACAGGCCTCATAGGGGGGCTAATGCATACTTTTAATTCGGTAGACTCTTTACTGGCAGTTTATTAAAATTTGAGTCTGAAAACGTAGTTGATCATGGAAATGCAATGAAAAGGGGTTTGCCTGTACATTAGTTTATACACTTGTCAAAGAACAGCGGTTTGTGTTTGATTTTCTTTAGAACAAGACTGTTGCTACACCAAATCAGGGTGTCTGGGATATGAGAGGGAAACAGTTCTATGCTGGGATTGAAATTAAAGTGTGGGCTGTTGCCTGCTTTGCACCTCAGAAACAATGCCGGGAAGATTTGTTGAAGTAAGTAGTTTCCCTTTTTAGAAGATTATTATGTTTACTTGTTTAAACTGATATTTGGAAAGCTTTGAATGGTGTATCTTTAATAGAGGTTAAATGTTGTTATCAACAAGATGATGGTACACAAAGCAATTACTTTACATCACTTTTTGCTTTCTCCACTCTGACACCTTCAAGATCTGGTATCTTTTAAATTTATTTTTTATTATGTATATCCCGCCTTTATTATTTTTGCAAATGACTCAAGGCGGTGAACATATCCAATACACCTTCCTCCTATCTTCCAACACAACAACAACCTTTTGAGATGAGTTGGACTTCAAGAAGATCCAATATCTTCTTTATTATAAGCATACTTCTCAGCCAATGTAATTAAAGCCTAGTGCAATGGAAAGTAATTATGACATCTTAATTTGGGATTATCAATAGAACTTGCTTACCCGTAATTAGAAATTTCAGAATGACAGAGTAATTGGTTGTGCTCATTTTCTGATGTCCAGAGTTACTGTATATTGACAGTATTCAAGGAGGTTTGGTCTAACCCTGTGTTTTTCAAAGCTAGAAACCTTAAAAGATGTGGTCATCAGTTCCCAGAATTCCACAGTTGTGCTGGCTGAGAAATTCTGGGAGTTGAAGTCCACTCGTCTTAAAGTTGCCAAGATTCAAAAAAATACTGATCTAACTTAATGATTGAGAGAAGATCTGTTTTCTAAGAATCAGTCCAGTTCTTTTATCAAAACCATTTCAGGTGGAATAAAAGGGATAACATGCACAAGGTAAGGTTGTGCTAATGCTGTCTATGACTTATTCTGTGATTCTAGGAGTTTTACTGATCAGCTGCGCAAGATCTCTAAGGATGCGGGGATGCCAATCCAGGGCCAGCCATGCTTCTGTAAATACGCACAAGGGGCAGACAGTGTGGAGCCCATGTTCAAACATTTGAAATTGACTTATGTGGGGCTGCAGCTAATTGTAGTGATTCTTCCAGGAAAGACACCCGTCTACGGTAAGGAAGAGACCATTTGACCAAATGCATAATATAATTATCATATTGAAAGAATGTGCAATTACAATTCAGTGCTTTTTTTTTGTAATAATCCTGTGCAAACTCTTTAAAATAAAAAATAAAAACCTTTAGATAATCTAAGTCATCAGTTCGAGTTACTGGAATGGGATAGGAGTAGAGGTTGAATAGAGCATTTAAAAAAACCTGGGTTCTAAAAAAAAAACTTTTTCGTTGCAGCTGAAGTTAAACGAGTCGGGGATACTCTCCTGGGCATGGCGACTCAGTGTGTTCAGGTGAAGAATGTGGTGAAAACATCTCCCCAAACTCTTTCCAATCTTTGTCTGAAGATCAATGCAAAACTTGGTGGAATAAACAATGTCCTCGTACCACATCAAAGGTCAGTTTAACCCTTGGTTATTCTTCATAGAAGGCATATGGCTGAGTTTTATTCAGAAGAGAATGATGAAAACACTCAAAATGAAAATCCTTGCATTGAGAATGTTGTCATTTACCTAATTTATATTGTTCTAAAGTTTTTCTTCGTTATAGCAATAAGAACTTAGTTGTCTCTAAATAGTTTTTTCTTTTTTCGTTCACATATTCACTTATACTATGATATCTTATACTAGATAATTGTCCCCATAAAAACCTGTATAATAATCTCCACATTAGAAAGTGAGGCTATCTGGGAGTCCAGTGTAGGATTTCCATTTTTCCCAATAGCCGTTGAGATTTTATCTTTCTTTTTTGTAATTGTTGTTTTATACTAATAAATTCTTTAGATTTATTGTTGACTGGGCTGACCTGAATTTTTTTATTGAAAGAACAATTCATTGAATTCTCTTTTTACCCCAAAGCAAAACAGGAATTAATTGAGGACTAAGGTTAATTGTTTGATGCAACAGGGAGCCACATAATGACTTATTTATATATATTTATATACCATATGCCCCCCAAAATAAGCACTTGGCCTTATTTTTGGGCAGATCTTATTATTTTTGAGATGCAGGAGGCAGCGAGCGTGGTCACCTCAACACATATTGCTGTGTTGCAATATTTTTGGGGAGGGCTTATTTTTGGGGGAGGGCTTATTTTACTGCATGCACTCAAAAGCCCGATTGGGCCTATTATTTGGGGCGGTCTTACTTTCAGGGAAACAGGGTATATATCTATTGTTTGTCCTCTAGCTGAGGTGGGATATGTTAACTATCAAAGAGGTAGAATATTGAGTTGTGTAATGCAGAAATAAGCACTTCTTCTCAGCAACTGAAGAATAACTTGGAAAAAATAAAAATGATAATTAGAACTTATAAAACATTTTTAAAAGGATTTTTTTGCTGGTTCCTAGTTAAAATGCCTTTTTTTCCAATTCCCCAGACCCTCAGTATTCCAGCAACCTGTTATTTTTCTGGGAGCAGATGTCACTCACCCTCCTGCTGGAGATGGGAAGAAACCTTCCATTGCTGCTGTAGTAGGAAGCATGGATGGCCATCCCAGCCGCTACTGCGCTACTGTACGAGTGCAAACATCCCGTCAAGAGACATCACAAGAATTGCTGTACAGTCAGGAAGTGATCCAGGACCTGACCAATATGGTGCGAGAACTGTTGATCCAATTTTACAAATCTACTCGCTTCAAGCCTACAAGGATCATTTACTACAGGGGAGGAGTATCCGAAGGGCAGATGAAACAGGTATTGGTCTAGTAATTCATCCTCTGAATGGGCCCCTTCAGAAAGTCCATTCCTTTGCCAGATAGCCTGGAAAGAGGTTTATACCAAGAATACACTCAATGCAAACATTTAATCATCCAGTTTGAAACTATAAGCAATGCATGCACTACCTGCATGCATTGCTTATTAGCCCCATTGCCGCATAGAAATCTGGCAATGGTTGCAAACACTGTAATTATCCTAATAATAAACAGTAACATATGATGGTTATGTTAGTATTAAGATGTCTAAAACCATTTAATTTTAGATGATCTGATAAACCACTACTATATTAATCTGTAAAGAGTGACTTAGGTGTGGATCCTAGTACTGCTAATGAATGACTGCATTTTGGGTACTCAAATTTATGGCCTTTTGCAGAATTCCTATGGAAACGTAACTCTGATATATGATGTTTTTGCTGAAAGACAGCATTTGTTTCCAGTTTCTGGCAAAAAAAACACACCCTATATTGAACAATGGATTTGCTTAGTGACTGGTGTTTTCTTCATAATCACTTCCACAAAAAAGGTAAAATCAGGCACAGTCACCTGATAACTGGCGTAATGACCATCACAATTGATGGACATAATTGTGGGCTCAATTACAATCACTTGAGGACTACCTGTAAGCTGGAAAAGTAGGCAGATTGTCTCTTTATCCAAACCAGATGTATGTTATATGTCAGTGATGCATCCTGATCCTAAATTAAATTAGTAACTAATCCCAAAGCATATAGCACTATGCATAACAAGCAGTTTTATAAAAGTACTTGTCTTATTTTCTTCATGGCAAGTTTGCAAAATCATATTTTATCTTGAAAGTTTTCATGAATTTACTTGATGTATTCAGCAGCCAGAAATTGGCTTGGATTCATACCTGTTCTTAATAGTACAACAGTGGGACTTCATGAATTGCTTCATGAATTGAGTTGATTTCAACTTTAACACTTCTAGGTAGCTTGGCCTGAGCTTATCGCAATCCGGAAGGCCTGTATCAGTTTAGAAGAAGACTACAGGCCAGGGATCACCTACATTGTCGTGCAGAAAAGGCATCACACAAGACTCTTTTGTGCAGACAAAACTGAACGGGTAGGTAACTGCAGAAGGAACGTAAAGCCATTCTATTAAATTCTGCAGCTTTCAGGAGATGCCAGATGGCTTTTCTTGGAAAAATGCCTGGGTGGGGTAAGGTTGGTGCAAATGAATTTTTATAAGGCTAGATACTGTTGGGGTTTTTTGGTGGTGGTAAATAAATTTACACATTTTGAATCAATAAAAAGTATAATAATTCAAAATTGATTCTAAATGTCAGATGTAATACCGCTACAAGAAGCTAAAGCCTAGCTGAAAACGTTGAGGCATATTTGTAGGCATCCCTCAGCACTAATGATTCCTAAGAGAATGAAATCCGTGAGATCCAGGTAAGTCAGATCCATTTCATTTCCTCCTGCTTATTATTGGAAAACATTCAGTTCAACGTATTTCAAGTTGGACACTTCATTTCAAGTTGCAACAGTGGTTCCAATCTTAATGAACCTAAACGTAATATTTCAAATTTAAATTCAGAAATGTTTTGTGCATTTCTGTTTGTCAAGTCATACATGCCGCTCTTTGCTGCCCATTTCTTTCATGAAATTCTGTATATAAAGTTTTTTATTTTTTCATTTTCATAACATATAATCACATGTATACTATTACATAGCCATGTATACTATTCATGAAATTCAAAATGGCTATCATCAGGCGATGGCATTAGGATAATGTGAAAATATGCTCAGTTTGACGTTGCTTCAGATGTATCTGAATCCGGCTGACTTCAGGCAAAGCTGAAGAATTTCATCTTTAGAGGAAACTGTCCAATTGCTCGTTGAATCATGATTCTTAATATTTAGTAGTAGGGCAGTGGTAAGGTTCAAGTGTGCTGCACAGTTTGATTGAATGATTTAATGTCAAATAAAATAAAATGATGAATTCTGCTTATTTTGTTGACACGGATTCCTCACACTAAGCGTTAGGGCTGTGTTTTCTCCAATAGGTGGGGAAAAGTGGGAATGTTCCGGCAGGCACTACCGTGGATAGCACCATCACCCACCCGTCTGAATTCGACTTTTACCTCTGTAGCCATGCAGGAATCCAGGTAATCATAATATAGCCAGCAGTTACTCTGTAGCATTTTGTGGTTGGTGCATGAATGAAACCGGCCTTGTATAAAGGAACTGCAAAACAAGCTAACAGTAACAAGCCAAGAACCACTGAGACTACTCCCAGCCAACACTGACAGGGCAAATGACTAGAATATAAATTGAGACCAAACTTCACTCTCCCTAGTTCTGATATCTCAGGGGCTGCCACAAAGAAGAGGGGGGTCAACCTAGTCTCCAAAACACATGAGGGCAGAACAAGAAGCAATGGGTGGAAACTAATCAAGGGGAGAAGCAATCTGGAACTCGAGAGAAGAGTTAGAACAATTAATCAGTGGAATGGCTTCCCTCCAGAAGTTGTGAACCGTGCAGGTTTTAAAAAGATGTTGGATAACCATTTGTCTGAAAGGGTATAGGGTTTCCTGCCTAAGCAGGGGGTTGGACTAGAAGACCTCCAAGGTCCCTTCCAACTCTGTTATTCTGTTAAATGAAAGGTTAACCTTGATACTGAAATGTGGCATAAGCAGCCGCAGTTTGGCCCTGAAAAGCCAGCGAAGCATTTTCTTCTGCATTAATGAACAGCCTTCACCTCTAGGTTGAAGAAGCTGCTCCTTTCTTCTTGCATAGAAACTCTGTAAGAAAAAAGAGAGGACTTTCCTGGGGAAGAAAAGAAGAAGAGCCAACTTCTTTGTTCCGAGGTTACTGCCTGCCTCTTGCACGGTATGTCTGCCTTTAGGGAATTTCAGGGGTGGATTGACTAGATTTATCTTATTTCAGGGAACCAGCCGTCCTTCTCACTATCAAGTCTTGTGGGATGACAACTGCTTCACTGCAGACGAATTGCAGCTACTGACATACCAGCTGTGTCACACTTACGTTCGATGCACACGGTCTGTCTCAATCCCTGCGCCTGCATATTATGCCAGGCTGGTGGCATTTAGAGCAAGATACCATCTTGTAGACAAAGACCATGACAGGTAAACAAACATGGGAGAAGAATCTTCAAGGGTTTAAAGTATATTCAGACTCTAGGATTGCATCCTGGGTAAGCGGTAAATTATGTACAGATCTGCCCTTCTGTTCTGAATTTGATCTAAATGCAAAGCTCCTTCCCTTGTAACAATTCGATTTTCACAGGGAAGTTACACATTTTTGGTGACATCAGTCGCTGGTTGCTGCACAGGCAATATTTTATTGAACAAGTTGCAACAACCTGCCTTCTGATTATAGATTCCATTTAATTGGCTAGAAAAATTAGATAATGTATTTATCAATATAATCTACAAAAAAAAATCTGCAGAGACTCTGAAATTGTATTAGTGGAGCCTGTTAGTTTTGTTAATCCATTATGCTAAGCTAATTTAAACTTCTACCAATGTTTTGGATATTTCAGAAGAAACTACAGTTTAGAGATTAGATGCCTGAATCACATGTAAGAGAGGCCTTGAGTTTATTTTTAACCTTGTTTGTACAAGTAGTCCTTGATTTAGAACCGTAATGGAGCCTGCCTATTATGATTGTAAGTCGTGACAATTGTAAAATGGGTCAGTCATGTGACCTATTTACAACCACTTTTGCAGCAGTCACTAAAGGCTTTTTTTTTGCTAAAAATTGGACGTAAGTGCTTCTTTTCAGCAAAGAAAAGCTAGTAAAACATGACCATAGGATGTTACAGCCAGCCATGTAGATGGCCTAGTTGCCAAGCACCCAAAATTTGGTCATGTGACTGGGGGATGACCCTCAGAACTTTGAATCTGGGTCATAAGTAGCCCCAAGATAGTTCTGTTTTAACTTCAGTCATAAGTGAGTGACTACCAGTACATTATTGTAACCTGAATAGAAACTACCTCTGCCCAATACTTAGAAGTGGATTTTTCACCTTGAAACAGTGGCAACCTGCAAAGGGTCGGGATGTAGTTGAGGGAGGAGTGTAACCTCAGTGGGATTATGTGTTAAATCCTTCCAACTTCTTTTTCAGTGCTGAAGGCAGCCACGTGTCAGGACAGAGCAATGGCCGTGACCCTCAAGCACTCGCCAAGGCAGTACAGATCCATCACGACACCCAGCACACAATGTACTTTGCCTGATCAGACTCTGCAGCCACGTGGCGTGGCAGGAGCGGCCTAGTTGGTCAGGTCACCAACCATTAATTGTCAGGGCTCGTTTTTTTAATTCAGGCTGCCCTCCACCAGCAGCTTGGGACAGTTGCACTGAATTGATACCTGCCACCAACATCTCGTGCAGGCACAATTGAGCCATTTTTATTTTTATTTCTTTCCGTAAACAGAAATTTCATAAACAGTCTTTGCATTGGACTGAATTTTTACCTCAAAACGCAAAAGGCTGATCCTCTTAAACAATTTTTAAAGGACTTGGCACGAAAGGTTTTTATTGAAATATTTTGCTAACCAAGTAATCAATTTACGTTACCTCTTCATCCCACGTTAAGCTTGTCAAGAAGAAGAATTCCTGCTGGGCTTTGACATAACTGCTTAGTGAGTCTCCAGATATGGCAAAACAGGATTCTGCTGTTTTTTCTGTCTGGAACCATATAGACTTGATCAATGAATTTTTGGTGTAAAACACCTTTCAACAAACATGTATTTTCAGAGGTATGGCTGTTCCTTTGGTTTTGTTTTTTAATTTTTCGCTTTGTCAAATTTTGCTAGTTCCCTTTTTGTAAATCTCTCTGCAGTCCTGGGCTGCAAAGCCATTGCACTATAACTGCGAATTCAGCTTGGTGGTACTTCTTCTGTGAATGCGTAATGTTAGCAGAGAAAAATCCCCCCTGGCAGTTCTAATACAATTATAATTATGATTACGGTTACAACTGCCATCTTTTGATTCAAAATGCTGAACTGCTTCCCCTTCTAAAAATAGGTAACCAGGTTCTGAACAATTAGTTTTAGTATTTTTCAAACATCACAAAAAGTGCCCATTTTATGCTGCTATGTTTGACAAATTGAAGTCATTTTTAATACTCTTTTTCATAGAAGGTTTTAACTTTGGCAATAATTTTTTTTAAATAACCTGGCAGTAGCTTTTCTAGTCAGAATCCATTCTTGGGTAGATTGACTTATCTTTGCTGAAGAGAAAATTAATTACTAAAAATGGATCAGAAGAGGCTCCCTTCATGCTTTTTACAAATGATTATTTTTAACTGTTTTATAGTCACCATTGGTCTGTCTACCCCTTTTTATAAGCTTGGAAAGTGGGTGTTGTGTATTGGAAAAAAAGGCTTTGCCAATTTGTACAGTTGTGTATAGTGTGACAGTAGCAATCAAAGACTTTTACCAGCAATTTAAATCCTGTTTCCTTTGATGATTTAGGTTTCTTGCATGTACAGCGACACTCAGTAGCATGTGTGAAGTGTGAATTGTAATGTTGATCTTGAACCTTTTCTATTAGGATTCTTATTTTGCTCGGTTCTCTTCCACTGAAACATGTTAATACCAAAAGTAGGATGGGAGGGGGTTGTGCAGACAATAATAGTGTTGTGTTGAGACTAGCTTGTGAGTGTTAGCACACAATGCTTTAAATTCCTAGTTTTTGACTGAATTGATATGGCCACTGGGAAGACTGGGATTTGGCCAATAATTGCACTCTGGATTTCTAATCAGAGGGTGGCATCACAGAGCCTTGTGACCTTGTGAGCTTTCAAACCCGGACTTTCACGTTGGCAATATGATACACCGTTTAGATTGTCCTTCAGTCAGTTGAAATAGAGCTTCTCATAACTTGGAAAATGTACATTTCCAAGAACATTATTCAGTTGTGTCAGAGTACACTGAAGTTAGTCTTCAAAAAACAAAAAAAAGTTTTATATGCTTCTTCCAGAGCCGTGGGCGTGTGTGTGGGGGTGTGTGTGTGTGCATGTGTTTGTGGGAAAGGGCATATGCAGTGTTTGTCCCCATTCAGAAAAAGAAGTGAAGCAACTTAGTTCTGACATCCAGAGCTGAGATATTAGATTGCTTAAGAATAGGTAAGGGTTGTTTTTTTAACTTTTCCTTGAGAATACCTCACTTGGATAATCAATATCAGGACACACAGGGAGGGAGAGTGGCCACTGCTTTAGTTTATCTGCTGCTTTTCTTTTCTTTTAATGTTCAGGGAGAAAATGCAAGAATTTTAACTCCTGCTGACCCAAACAAACAGAGAACTGAGGCACCTTGAAAAGAGTCTAAGCACCTGTTTTAGTGTGTAGCATTTTTTTTATTGCACTAGGTAAGGACATGGTTTGAGAGAAAGAAAGGGAAGTAAGAAAAATGGGTCTCTGTACCACCTGGGTACACTGGTAGCTGCCCTGGCACCTAGTACAGGTGGAGAAATGGGATATATGTACCCACCTGTCTACAGGTGAGATCTTCCAAATCCCAACCAGGCAGAATGAAAAACAAGCTTTCTAAAAGGTTTGTAAACCTTCAGCAACCAAATCTGCTTTTGCTCCCACTTCCAGATATGAAGATTGGGAAGTAGGGCTGGAGGAGAATTTAAATCTCTCATCCTATCAATTGCCAGCAAAAGCAGATTTTGGGAGCCAGGTGGGATTCCCCACTGCTACCCAAATAGTAACAAAAAAGAGAAGTGGGAGGAAAACATGCATTTTAAAGGGCTCAGTTAATTTTAGTTGTAGTTGGGCCCAAACTGTGAAGACAGGAAGCTTAACAAATCCGGGAAGAACTTTTTTCTGATTGGCTTATTAGGAAATGAGTCTGTATAAAGTGTATAAGCTATATGAAATGGTTCTTTTTAAAAAATTTCTTATCATAGGAAAAAAAATAAGATTTTGATCGTATTTTTCATGTGTATTACAGCCCACAACCCACATTGGTCTTTTGAAATCATCTGTATTTCAGAGAGATATCTAAGCAGGATTCCTTTTTTTAAGTGAATTATTATCACAATGAATTTTTATCAGCCCAAAAACGTTGATGAGAAAACTTTCTTGCCAACTTTTGCACTTTCTTGGAATTTTACATGATTTCCACCCCCTCTTCTTCCTTCTTGTCTCTGTTGAAAATTTTCCTGTGCAAAAAAATGTTCAGTCATCTCTTAGTTGCTGAATGGTCCAGTGATGTCATTTGGGTATGTTTCAGAGCTGAAAAATTCTATCAAAGCAGACAGCGATGAAGATCTTTAAAAACTAATAAAAAGGGAAGGTCTTGTTGATCTTTGGGAGACCTTTTTGACTCATTGGGACTGCCCCTTCCCCTGGGGATGAACTGAATGGTTATGCATGTGTCAATCAATGGGAAGATGTGCATTTTCTAGCTATAGTTCTTAAGGTTTTAGGGTTTAGTTTGGTTGGGGTTTTTAATGTGGTTTTCTTTCCTTTTGACCCAGTCTTCTCCAGCTGTGTTGTCTTTGGTCGTTTTGGGCTACAACTTCCAGAATTTCAACTTGGTTGGAGATTTTTGGTTTATATTAAGCCTGCTGGCTCCTTTTCTTTTTTCTTTTTGCTGTTATGTCATGGGAGATTTTCAAATGTAGCAAATTTGAACTGTGGGCTGGAGGGGAGTGGGCTAATAATTTGGGCAGTAGTTCTCGGTGTTTATAGGAAAATCAAATGTGGTTCCTTCTGTAAGTCTTCTGCTTTTTTATTTTATTTCTTTGAGCACTTTTATTCCAAAGAGGCTCTAAAAAGCTTTTGCTCTGTAACAGAGAGTCTTGCTTTACTTCTGTGACTTCTGGGCATTTTAAGAAGGGCATCGAAGGAGACTTCAAAATCAGAGGCAGAAGATGTTCCATGTTTCTTTGATCCAGAGACGTCGTTTTCTCCTACAGCCCTAATATCAAGAATCTTTGTATGATGGGGAAAAGGGCATGGCTCTCCTTGCGACAGGTCACCCAACCTCCAATCAGTTCTTCCCACTCCTGCCAAGAAAACTACCTTTTTTGATGATGCTGTGGGTCCTTTTTTCCCCTTCTTGCTCCATGGCAAGGCAGTTCCTCTGTTTTCATTTTCGTAAAGCAGAGTTCAGAGGGCATTGTATCAATACTGTTTCAACTGCAAGGTTTTTTTCCCTTGTACAAATGGAGGAAAAATCATAAGTGGATATCAGTTTAAGGGTTTCTTTATACCTTGCTATTGACACTTTCATGATATTTCTATGTCTAGGGCCTGGACCTTGTACGTAAAACTTGTTGGCATATGTTCATTTTCGACTGATGTATTTTTCCTTTTTTGTTTGTTTGTTTGTTTCTATACTGTTAGACTTGTAATGTTATAAATTGTATTTTATTAAATTGGACTGGATGTATGTCTATAGCAATACGAGGTACTTTTTCTTTCAAAGAAACTCTGGGATGGGTAGGTTAACAGTGCCTCCCTCCCCCATTGCGATATGCTGGCTGTGTATAATTGCAATGTATTTTTCTTTCTTTCTTTTTTTTTAGCCTGCAGGGATTTTGTGTTCATGTGTCCAAAAAAAATAAAGGCATTTGTTGCCAAATGTTTTTTCTTCGGTGTGCAATAAAAAAAGCTTGTCTTTTATTTTTATTCTAAAACCAGTGGGCTACTGATAAGATTCATGAGAGAAACAAGGGGCATGAAATGGAATTTTAAATAATATTATTTGGATGCATGACTGTAAACCAGATGCCTGAGATGTTGAAATTTAGAATATTTAAGAACCAAGTGACATTTTGGGTAAGAAGCAAATAATGTTGTTAAATATAAAGTAAACATACTTGTGGCAGAAATCTTGACTTTGATGGCATTTGAACTAACGTAATGGTAACCAGGGATAATTTTTTTGTTATGGCTAACCTAAAGAAGTTATCAACTATGTGACCTTGGCAGTGAAAGTAAACTCTTAAGCAAAATTTACTGAGGAAGGCAATTGCAATAACCAGCGAACTTCTCATGATGTGCATGTAACTGGATAATAAGTGTATTGTGTATTGTATTTTACATTCAGAGACAAAACTTACCTTGGGCAAGATAAGACCACGAGAATCCTTCAATAAAAATGAGTAAGAATTAAAATGTATAATAACATCAACAGAAATAGTCAACCAGTCTGATGATGAAGGGAATACATGGCCTTTTAAGTGTGCTTAAAAATGATAGTCCCCCCCCTAATATAAAATTTTAAACTAATGAGAAATTGCAGTAGCTTGATAATACACAAAATGAAGTCCTGCTTTACACAATGCAAAATTATCCAGTAGTATGAGTCTCACTCAATTTGGATGTCTCCAGACAAGATTTATTCTACACCTGTTGGTTTTACCCATCCATTTTTGGCACTTACACTATGCAATCTTAATGCAAAGATTAAAAGATAACCTTCCATTCAAGAGGTGCAACCAACCAGATTTTGGTGCTAAAGTGGCTGAGGTAACCATGGAGAAATGTAGGTGCCCATTTTAAAATATACCCTCATGCTTGTACATTTGATTTTAAACTGCTTGTGACTTAATGTGAAGCAAGACAAGTGAATTATTTAGTAAATTGGCTTTACACACAGAACAGCTAACTTAGTGTTTATTTGAAGACTCTGGACTGGATCGAACTCTGGGCTCATTAAAAGTGGGCCCCAAAAGTCAGAATGGTAGTTTTGACGCATGTTCAAAGCTGCGCCTTTTAAAAAAAGTGAGTGCCTTGAAGCATTAAGAATGAGGCAAGGTTATCAGCAGCCATCTTGATTTTTTTTGCCCCCACTGTAGACCCTCTGTGTGGGCACTTGGAAAGTTACAGTAACTCTTTCTGGAAGACCTTATCCCTTGAGTTGAGGTGCAACCCAACATGATGATGATGACCAGCAGTGTCCTCTTCAAGAGAGACTTTGGACTTCTTTTACAGCAACTATGATAGGCTTAGTTGTAGGGGTTAGCATCTTTGTTCCTAATTGTGTTGGTTCTGCAGATGGATTTTATGCTTTCCTCCATGATTGCATTCCTGATGTTAGCTAGAATTTTCAGTACCATAGAGCGGTCCAAAAATCTCCGTCAACAATTTGAATTGACTGCCTAATTAAAGCTAGGGCAGAGTCACTGAGAGTTGGGCAGCCTACGCAAACAAACTTAGGTGCCAGCAAGGTTTCCAATGTGGAAACTTGCTCCAAGAAATGCACGGTACTGTACACAGAAGAAGCTGGGGTGGCTTCCTTCTCCTTCTGTCCACTAAGGGGCACCGGTGGTGGATTCCTTAGTTGGCTATGGCAGAAGGAAGAAGGGAAAATCCATGGAATCCTTCCTCTGGTTGCCTCAAATGGTGAAAGCACCAGATCCCTGTTGCAGCTGCTAAGGATCCATGTCATGGGGCAAAACCATTAGTAGGACTAGTGTGGTCTAACAAAGCAAAAAAAGGTGAAGATTAGAGTTTGAAACTTTGAAACAAGGTCACTCAGATCGGAATAAATTGAAAAAGATCACCCTCCACCCACCTGTGTTTTGAAAGAACCTAAGAATTAACTAAAATTAGAGATGTAGAAAACAGGTAAAAAGTGTCTTTACTACCTAGGGTTGAAGGAAGCTGTAGGGTTTAGCACTTGCTTTTTGATCCCCTCTTGGGTCATCTTCCCTTAACTATTATCTGCATACAGGTATTCCCACAATCAAGTGATCCTTTGAAGTTGCAACAGGAGTAAAAAAGTGAGATGACCTTGGACCTTTGACTGGCAGCCATCCCCATGGTCACTTGATCAAAATTTTTGGGTTTGGCAACCAGAATGTATTTTCAATGGTTGCAATGTCCTGAGATCATGTAACCCCCTTCTCCATTGACTTCTGACAAGCGAAGTGATAGGGGAATCCAGATCTGCTTAACGAACGTGGTTCATTTAACAACTGCAGTAATTCATTTAACATCAGTGGCAATTTTTTTAAAAAAAATTAGACATGACTCACTCAATGCAAGTTTAAGAATGAAAATTCTGGTCCCAGTTGTGGCTGTTAGAACTGTCTGTATCATAAAGTGTGTCACAGGACTGGCCTTGTCCTGTGACACACTTTATGGGGGATGTGGACAAGGCCATACGAGCTGTGAGTGCTTCCACCTGCATACTGGACCCGTGTCCCTCCTGGCTGGTTGCCAACAGCAGTGAGGTGACACGCGGCTGGATCCAGGCGGTCGTGACCGCCTCCCTTCGGGAGGGGCACTTCCCCGCCGCGCTTAAAACGGCGGTGGTGAGACCCCTCCTGAAGAAACCATCCTTGGATCCAGCCGTTTTTAACAACTACCGTCCAGTCTCCAACCTCCCCTTTGTTGGGAAGGTTGTCGAGAAGGTGGTGGCCTTCCAGCTTCAACGGTCCTTGGAGGAAGCTAGCTACCTTGACCCCTTCCAGTCCGGCTTCAGACCTGGTTACAGCACAGAAACCGCTTTGGTCACATTGGCCGATGATCTCTGGAGAGCCAGAGATGGACGCCATGCGTCCATCCTGGTTCTCCTTGACCTCTCGCCGGCTTTCGATACCATGTACCATG